AATCTATCTGTCCCACCATTATTTTCCCAATGGGCCAAGGTAAAAGTTCCATTAAGCTCAATATAGAAGATTTCTATACTGAGCTCAAAAGAACTTTTCCCTCAGCCTATGATTTTCACTGCACAGTAAAAAAGCTTTAGCCAGTCCTCTTGTCTGTCGAAACAAGACTTTAGGAAACAGAATGTATGGCAAGAGAACCATGGTCTTGCTGAGACAGACAACTCATTGCTTTTGTTCTCTCCAGTGTGGATTTGTAAAAGATTGTCTTACAGATTTGAAGTAGGTAGATGTTTTTTTCTGTGGGTGACTGCAATATGTATTTTTAATTGGCTGCACAAAAATAATTATGGAACCATTAAAACAGCAGTTATGTCCTTTTATGAGAGTTTTATTATGAAATGAATGCCATGTGCTAATGAAAATCCAAAATTCATTTAATGCATTTTGATTGGATGTCTTGATTCTTATCGACCATCTCTCAGTATTCTGATTGGAAAAGGCTACATCAAAGGATTATCTCTAACTCAGGGAGTAGATGAAGCTCTCTTTTAATGATTTTATTGGAAATGGTAATTTTTATAACCAGTACAATTTTAAAACAAATTCCTTGGTAATAGCACTGTACCGAATTTGCATTTGGATCAAGCTTTTTACATTAAAACCTCCATATCAAAACACCTTTTGAAGTAATAATTGAGAATACATGTACCCAGTAACATAATTTTACTGGCGTTTTGATATTCAGGTTTTACTGTATAAGGATTGATCCAAGTGCTAACCCAGTAAAGTGAGATGAAGAAACTACCATGTTAAAAACTTTGAACCACCTGGCAATTCAAACACTTTTGGTCCATCTGAGTGTTGATTTGATAATACAAGTTTCACTGCACTTTCAACATATAGTCTTGTATTGTAAGAATAAATTAAAACAAAACTCAATATTTATTCAGTACTATACATTTTCTGAGCCACTTTATTGTCTGTTAGCAATAGACATATAGAATACACTGCTATAAGCTACTATATAATATAACATATATATCAGTGCCATCTTTTGACTGGCAATAAAATCAATGTCATATATAATATTGGTTTCTTACGTTTTATATTACAAACTTTGGCATTTAATGCCAAAAACTCAATATAGGGTTTCCTGCATGTATGTAATATGTAAGTTTGGTGTTTTTCCATATTTCAACACTTTTCAATGGTTGACCTGATCATCTACAGTATGATGTAAAATGTTTTTATGTACATAACTAATGAACGCAAAGTATAAAACTGAACAGTTTTCTCAGGAAAAGTTTTAAATCATCTACTGAATGAGGAATTCTAACCAATAAAAATGTTCATAATATTCATTTCTCTAGTATATCTATTTAATTCATAATCAAAGACTGGCAACGATCAGATGAATTTTTGACCTGAATAAATACATAAAAATATACATACACTATATAATAATAATTATGTATAGGTTTAAACATTTTCATTATTTGTAAATAATTTTGTGATATAATTTCTCATGTCAGTCCATAAACATGATTTTATGTTTGACAATTTAACAATAATTTTATAACAATAGAAGTCCTGGGTAAGAAATTTATATTTTTTTGTCGAATTTGGCTCCTTTGTATTTTCTTCAGATTATTTGTAAAATCAGTAATTTTCATTTTGTTATTTTATGAATCTCTGGATGACAGTTATAACACTATAAAATGACCAGGAATACAATGGTCTGGTCAGTTCCTTCACATTCCATACTTCACATCACTTATTTGTGTATACATGAAAGCCTGATATAAAGATACATTGAAGTCTATAAAAGTCCCTGACTTTCAGATTAAGAGCATGAACAAAAATATAGTAGTGTTCTTATAACTGGTGTACTATTCTACACACAGGAGGTTATTTCTCAAGGAATCACAAAACCATGCATTATTTTTAAAATTTTAGAATGTCCATAATGACAACTGAACAAGAAAATTGTAATATCATGAGATTTTTGAGAAATTCCCCAGATAGATACATTTTATTACATTTCTGCATTCTTTCTCATATGAAAATATGATCATGGGCGTAGCTAGCAAAGAGGCAGCCGAGGCAAAAGTCTAACCAAAACGTTGTTTTAGAGATGTTTTTTGGTTAGAATAAACTCCCATGGAAATATAATATCCTCATTAACTTAAAATTTGCCTCATCTATTTAAATTTGCCTCACCTATTCAATTATGCAATTTGCCTCACCTTTTTAAATTTGCAATTTGCCTCACCTATTCAATTATGCAATTTGCCTCACCTATTCAATTATGCAATTTGCCTCACCTATTCAATTATGCAATTTGCCTCACCTATTCAATTATGCAATTTGCCTCACCTATTCAATTATGCAATTTGCCTCACCTTTTTAAATTTGCAATTTGCCTCACCTATTCAATTATGCAATTTGCCTCACCTTTTTAAATATGCAATTTGCCTCATCTATTTAAATTTGCAATTTGCCTCACCTTTTTAAATTTGCAATTTGCCTCACCTTTTTAAATATGCAATTTGCCTCACCTATTTAAATTTGCCTCTTCAATTTTTGGATCCTGGCTACGCCCCTGATTACAACATGGTATTCTACTTATTGGTTATTATTTTCTCATCACCTGAATACAAGAAATAGGTTGCTATTTACAAAGCAATCTCATAAGTACACTTGCACAGGATTGTTGTGTATTTATACATGCTTCATTTACGCTATTGTTACATCGTGATAGCAAGAGAGCTGTATTGGTCTTAATAAAAAAAATTGAAAACTGAAAAAGAGAAATAAGGGATCATCATCAGGCCTAGCCTAATACATATTAAAATAAAATGAATTATTTCTTTCCTCATTTCAAAAAGCAGAACAGCTCTGAACCAAAATATCATTGACAAAAGTGATTGATATTACATGTGAAAATAGAGTTTTGGTATTATCTCTGCCAGCCCAAATATGGAGTCAAGTGACTTTTTTGATTGGTTAAATTTGGTCACATGGCCCTAGTCTAGATGACTTATTGGCTAGGAATGGTCACATGAGCATCTTTTTAAGGAGACCTGAAATTTTGCAACCCTGATTGTTGTACATTTGCGTAAATCTATAGGATATGTGTAAGAAAGATGAAGATAATGTATAATTGTATGAGAGAATACAAGACTTCCTGGGAAATACAAGACTTACTAGACATCTTAAAAATGCAAAAATGGATAAACTCTAATCAAACAATCATTACAAAGATACATGATTTCATGTATAAGGTTAGGCTATTATGAACAGCAACTCATATTAACACAACAAATGTATCATACATACACAAAATTCCCACTTAAATACACAAATACATCATACTATTAATTACACAACCTTCTTTAGTACACACAATGGTTTATGGTGGCCGACATGGTTCATATACGAAAGAAAAATCTAACTTACAACATGGACTGGTTTTGCTATAATACATTTGATTTGATTTGAAGTTTTTATAAATATAATTCTATGAAACAACTCTCCCCAATTAAACATCACTGAATATCATCCCTTGTGTTTATGTCAATGACAATGGCAGTATGTCACAGGTACTGAACCGACCTAATAGCATACTGTGCTCCCTTAAGGCACCATGTTAAGCGTATCATACTACTGTATTTGCCAATATAGCACCCCCCCCTGTCAAAGCTTTGATAACCCCAAGCGAACTCAGTATCACAAAGTCTGGCTAGTACCTGTATATGTATGTTATTGACTCAGTGGGATGAAATCTTTTGTTGCACATTGCCTTCCTCTGTCTTATGTAAGAGGGGTAGCACTAGGTAGCAATGACATCACGATAACCCTGACATCAAAATAATCCTGTCATATTGGTATCAATAACACTGACATGATATCATAGTAATCCTGACATCAAGATAATCCTGTTGCCTTGGTATCAATAACACCACAGTAATAGAGACATGACATCATGATCATCCTGACATCAAGATAATCATGTTACCTTGGTATCAATAACACCATAGTAACAGTGAAATGACATCATGGTCATCCTGACATCAAGATAATCATGTTGCCATGGTATCAATGGTGTCATAGTATGTTGACATTGAAACATTAACATCCTGACATTATGGTAATACATATACTGGGACACCATGGTGACAGTAACACTAGTAATACCATCCTCAAATGGTAATACAAATGGTTGGCTTTTTGGTATGGTATGCTCATCACTGATTATCATATAATGTTTGTCATTATGCTATATGCTTTCTCCCCTACATTATAATAAAAAGACTAAATGTGTCTATACATCAGTAAAACCTGTGTAAGTGGAACACTATTGGTACTTTTGGGGTGTTCCACTTATAGAGGTGTTCCACATTACAGGTTTTACTGTAATTCTATGGCACCAAGGTAACTGAGAATGAATTATGCAATTAAGTCAAATAAAATATGTACACCTTTTTCAAAACTGAGTAAAATATCCAGGACTGGCACCATGTAGAAATAGTTTGTTCTTTTCAGAATGTTGCGTAGAAAAATTTCTTTTTTTTGAATTGTTAATAGCAGCACCAAATAAGTTTTAATTGATTTCTACCTAAAACAATCCTGAATTTTTAAATTAATATTTATAACTGAATTGTAAGTTATTAACTGTTATATCACATATAGATATATGATACTGGAGAGTACAAAAGATTCCCCATCCCCCCTCTTCAGATAAAAATACAGTCATCCTAACTAGCCAACCAGGTCAACTGCAACCAAGAAAGTATTCAAAATAGCAAAAAGGTCAACTTAAACAACTTTGAAAACAAGGCAATTTAACTTTATGTCTTCAATGGTTAATTTTTATGCAAATGCAATTTGAACAGTTCACATCTGGAGTAAAAGACTCCCATACTTTTTTAAAGCTGATTAAGGTAAATGGCAATAGACACAAAGCAAAGAGGGAGAAGGGAGAATTTTTGTGTACCTCACACTCACATATATGTTGGTTTTATTGCTTTCTTCTATACTGAGTACAATAAAGAAAGCATAATCTAAAACTACCTGTACAGCTAGTATACACAGTATATGTATGAAATATCAATCTTCAAATTCACTTAAGTGTGAATTCAAACTAAAACTTTAACTCTACCTAGTAATATAATATTACTACAGTCAACTGCACAGTCTGAAGAAATCACTCAAATTAAATAAATCCTCTATAATTTCCATGGAAAAATGAGTTAATTTGTGATATTTTCATGTCTGTGCAGAAGACTGAATATACAAAATGGACAATTTACTAAAATGTTTTTTATTTCACTCCCATTTTTGTTGTTGTTGTTGCTAAATTTTACCCTTCTGTTCTTTGAACTTTCTCCGTATTGATTTACCCTCTAAGACCTAGAAGTTTGACCTTCACCTCAAACTTTCGACCTCTTATTCGGGGGCTCGTCTCCATCCAAATGTGTAGCGTCATTGTTTTCTCCCCCAGCCCCGGGATTAAAGTTACTAGTTGTCCAATCTTTCTCATCTCTAGACCCGTCAGTTGGGGATAAAGCCTCACTTGAAGGAGTCTATAAAAAAGTGATGTGCGTGTCAAAAATGAAAATTGTCATAAATTGTTTGATAATTTGTATGACACAATAGTCCTCAAAATGACACATATTTCCGGGTAACCTTTTGATATGGGAAAACAATGGTTGCAAGTATATGTAATCAGGAAGCAGGAAACCATAAAAAAGTATTAATGAAAATAAATTATTATAATAAATCATGCAAAGGTTTATTATGATTTATCAGATCTGCTTATTTTTTTGTCACATATGCACGTAAGTTTACATTTTCAACTTTCACATCACTTTCTTATATAATCCCTCAAAATGGCAAGGCTTATATGGATTTTAGTAGTTGCGCTTGCAATCTTCTCAATTTTCCGCAAATGTAGTTTTGAGACTATTTTCACATATACAGTTAATACAAGTTCACAAAGACTAATGTCTAAAGGACGAAACAACAGATATTTTTCAGAGAGACCGCTGAGCTTCTTATAAGGGGCTCACTCCACTAAGCCATCATCCTCATAAAAATCTAAACAGATCTTAAAATATTATTACTCAAAGTAACTAAGAAACTCACAAATTATTCAAGATGTCAAGGTTAACAAGAGTATTTCTCAATTATTGAATAGATCATTTTTAGAAAGTTTAAAAGAGTTAGTGAATTGTGCATTTGTGGTATAAGCAGATCTGATTGAAAAGGTGGTGTTAGTCAATACTTAAACAGATTTACAGAGTGTCCCAGAATATATAGAAACCTCACAAATAGTATGCAAACACAAACCAATCCACAGCAAAAAGAATAAAAATTCCATGGGATTTCTTTCAAAAAGCTAATGTAAATATGGAATATGAATGCATTTCTTAAACCTATATTTTAGTGTTTGCATACTTCTGTTAGTATTCTATTGTTGAATATGTCAACCATATTTAGAAAATTATAGTATACACTCCATAAGTTTGGCAACCCTAAATCCCCCATATAATAAGAGCATGTGTTAAAGCTGGTTTGTTTTTAGTCAAAAATCATCAAATTTGCGATAAAGTTTGGACCCATTGTAATTGAGAAAAAAATTCAATTCATATATTGATCAGCTTTAACATCCCCATTAGGAGTAGGGGATGCACTAAGATGAAGAAAATCAATGAGATTGCCGAACTTCAAGTCAGGAGTGTATCTGCTATGGAGAATAATCTCCAGGTTGTCCAGCATGACATACATCTATATGCTTAACAAGAATTTAGGAGAGAAGATATGTTAATCAATCAAGTTTGGTCAACAGAGTACAGAGCAATTACATATACTGTACATATGTAATATACTCTTAACCTACAAGTAGAGAATATTTAAGCAACATAGAATATACATTTTACTCTTCATACACTCCCTTTCAAAGGTTTGGCATTTCCCACTAGATATGTGCTAAAACCTGTTTGCAGACATTAACATGTTTTCAAACATTAACATGTTTTCAGACATTAACATGTTTTCAGACATTAACATGTTTTCAGACATTAGGCCTAACAGGTTTGAACACATGGTCTATCAGAGGTTTCCAAACTTTTGGCTAAGAGTATTGACCCTAGATAAAGTAACAATATTTGCCAATTTCCCCATCACTCTCAGATGGGGGGTGGGGGGTGTTCTTGATAAGTGAAGGGGGAGGGTCAGTAGGGTGGGTGCCTCATTTTTCATTATATTTAGCAAACAAAATAATATGTATATGTTAATTTACTAGTTTTATTATCTATTACCATTTTTTCACATACCCACATTTGACAATACAATAATTGTTACTTTAGGGACCAAGTCAATGTTTTGGCGTTTATGTATGCCAACAATATCAACCAACAATTACTTATTGGGGAGGGGGGGGGGTCGATTATGCTTATGTCAGCCCTTTACCTATTTATATATCAAAAACACAAGACTTTTGATTAAAAATCCATATGTGCTCCCTATTTTTTTTTTGTTGGAAGGAGGGGGTGAATCAAATATTACATTTTGACTAAACATCATAATACTGACCTGGTCCCTTATTAAAGAGTATCATGTGTAAGACCTGGACATGTCAATCATATACTTCGTCAGAAAATAATAAAAAATGTCTTTACAAAACTGCACTGTGTAAAATATGCTGTAATATGCTTTTTACTGTTTAATAACATGGGAACCAATGGAATAAAACTGAGATGTGATAAAAATGTTATCACAAATCTACGAAAAAGATTTTTATTGATGTTTTCTATTATAATCCAGGTCCTACCCACTGTATCCCAGTCTGGTACACAGTCACAAGAAAATGGTCACAAATAGCTTAATTTGAGCCATTTTATTGGGTCTATGGATAGACTGAACCAAGCATTACAAAATACACATGAACATATTTTCAATACATTTCTCATTAACAGGTATTATGGCACTGTTCAACGAACAATATCAAACATACTATAAACTTAGAAAATTTTTAATAATTTTTCATTGTTTATCCCTGCACTTTTGGAATACTTTTGCAAAACTGTACAGTAGTTAACAATTTCTAATTTTCAAATCTTTTAAAAATCCCCAAAATATCGCTTTAACGATCCTCTAAGTTTACAGTATGAAAAACTTTAAAACAAAACTCTGTATAAATTTCATGGCGGACATAGATATTTAGACATTTTTACTTCAAAATAATCTACTCCTATGAACCATGTGATAATACACAGGGCCCGCATCAATGATATAACATTATCAATGAGATTCTATCGACTTAACTCGTATAAATGGTTGGTTAGTCATAAAATATACATAAATTATTACCCTATAAATGAGTACATGTATCTTGTTAGCTATTGGCAATTTACACGTATCAGTCACATTACATGCAAGTATATCTAACAAAAACAAGAATATAGATCGTATGAATTATTGTCTAAGAGAATATGCTCTTTGTAAGCTGATTAAGTCCTAAATAGCTATGAATATCTAACAACAAACATCAACAATATTTTTCACGTTGTAAATAAAATCTTTAAAAAACAGTTCTCATACATTTTCCATCTTGGTTCCAATACCCTGTTAACTTATTCTGTTACTATGGCAACCACAAACAAAGGCCATATCAAAACCCGAATATCCAGGCATTAGCTATCATATATTTTCAAGTCAGTTAAAAGACGTGGGAACAAAAACAGTAACCAAGGCACAATTCAAAATTGATTAAAATGTCAATATGAATGTGAAGCACTGAGAAAATATAGTTGCCATAGTAACAATAATATGACACAACTTCTAAAACACTATCTTATAAGCCATATAAATTGAGAAGTATTCCCCTCCCGTCATACTTTATACCAATAATCAGGAGCTACTTTATAGGTAATTCATGAGGTGCCCTGTAATCATGATGTTGAGTCATGGAGTGATTTGTTGCTACATACTTTAGTCATAAGGTAATGTGTTGTTATGAAGGTCATGAGGTTGACCTGTCAACTGAGGTTACCTAAAGTCATGAAGTGAAGTCATGAAGTGCAGTCATGAAGTGACTTGTTGTCATGACGTTTCATCATGAGGTGATGTGTTGTCATGGAGTTAGTCATGTGGTAAACACATAGAGTGCAGTCATGGGGTTACCTATAGTCATGAAGTGCAGCCATGATGTGACTTGTTGTGGAGTGTAGTCATGACTTGTCTTGTCAGTCATAAGGTATCCTGTTCTCAAAGAGTATAGTCATGAGGTTTACATGTTGTCATGGAGTATAGTTATGAGTGGGGGGGGGTTTACTTCTTCACTGCTTTCTTTCCTTTTACTCCTTATAAAAAGTACTTATCTTTCATATTTATGTATGGTACAGTGTACTAGGTATGTATGAGGTTATACTTTTTTTATGAAGCATGCCATATGTCCAACTTCTTTCATGAAGCATTTGGTGAGACCACTATGTCTCATTTCATGATTTATTACATCTTCTTGAATGAAGGTTTTGGTGTCTCATACTTCTTTTACATGGCATGTCTCATTTCTTTTATGAAATATTGGTCATTGGTGTCTCAAACTTCTTTATGAAGTATTTGGTGTGTCCGAATTTCTGTATGAAGTATTTGACATGGCATATGACCATTGTGAATGTTGTGATGTTTTTCATATTTCAAACTTTTCAAAGTATAGTGAATAAATAAATGCAATGTTTTCTGTTCACCTTTTGTGACATTCTACTAATCTTAATACTGATATCAATGAATCTATATACAGCAGTGATCTCCCCAGGATTAAAGCAAGTGGGCACAGCACCCACCAGAAAATCCATTAGCACCCACTTGAAAATGAGAAAAATCATTAAAAATTGACATATTTTGACCAATTTTGATCTGAATTATGAAAATGAGAATTTTGCACCCACCTGCGAAAATATTCTGGGGAGATCACTGTACAGTATACCCAGAGTTTTATATATGAATACAGTATGAAGTTTGTTGAAATAACAATTTGATAATAAATCATATAATGCTTAATTAATTAAGGTAGGTCAAGCAAGATAAATAATCATATTAATTTTTATCTCACTCTGGCCACCTTAACAAAATGTTTTAGAATTCCATACAAAATTCATTGCACTGCACTGCACTAAAATTTTACAACACGGATTTTTCTCTGTATTTTATGAATCAAATCCAAATAAAACCATATAATCTCTGTTAGGTTAAAATAAACAAATGGTGGAATGTAAACATGACAATGAAAATGTCCCCAAACTAAATTAGCGTATCAACTCCCAAAAATCTAAATAAATACAAGAGATAGTCTTGCATCTTATCCATTAATTACTTCATCTGCACTAAGTGTTTAGATGAAGGAATCAAGGGCTTGATATAAGACTAGTCTTTTAATAAAATGTTCCCAATTTGAAAATAGAATCACCAAAGACATTATATGAATATCCAAACAAAACAATACAAAAGACAAGATTTTTACTCCATTATATTGGCAATAGTCTTGTTTCATCACCCTGGACCCCCACCTATCTACTTTAACAGCAGGTGTCATGTTGGTAAAATAGATAGGGGGAGGGGGGTCCAAAGTCTTGAAGCAAGACTATAATGTCAATGTCCTTCAAATTAAAATAACCCCTGGGAGATAATATCCAATTAAGATCCAATTAATATCCAATTAAGATCCCATATTCAAAAACTTTTTTAGACCTACCAGACTGAGCTCAGGACTCGGGTGGTCAAATGGTAAGCATGGTAACTGTAGATAATGAAAAACATTATTTCAAATAAATAGTTCATACAATGCGATCAAATTCCAACCAATATTGTATTCAATTAAAAGTCTTAAAATAAATAATGGGAATGATATTCATATGTGAACATACTTTCTGTATACATACATAATAATCATTACTGTACATCAAAATAAATGCATGTACCACATTGTGTAAACTTGGTAAATATTATGATTTTTTTATAGATAATTCTCATGTTGTTTTAAAATTCTCATATAACACAGACACTGCACATAAATACAGTCTTTGAGAATTCTGGATTTCTTAGTATACTTTGCCAAGATGAATTCATTATTTTAAATGAAAATTGACATTTGATAATGTTCTTGGTTTCACATAGTCCTCTTTGATGTTTCATACTTTAAAACTGCACTTTGCAAAGTTGTAAGACATGTGTTACACAAAATGTAACAGTATGTTACATAAAGTATAAGTGTGTAACACAAGCTGTAAAATATCTTTCCCTCCTGGAAGCGTGATGTAACTGTAGCACCAAATTCTCAGCAAACATCGTCGAATATTCAAACTTAATTTTTGCGTTCCTCTTTTATGAATAATGCCAATAAATATATCCTACATGGATATATTTATAGGATATGGCATATCCTATGAGGTTTATATTGAAAAATATAGAGTTTTGAGATTGCTGTATTTGTGTATCCATTCTGTGTTGACCTAACGCTGTAAGATGTAAGCATGCAAAAATATTGTAACGATTAATTATAGATATTTTACTTAAAAGCCCAATCTCTCAAAATAAATTTCATTTCTATATGTGTGTTTGTATAACTTAAAGGTTTGGGCTTTTAGATTAATTATGCTTGTTGAATTTGGAATTCTTTCACTTTTCCACACCTGGATGACTCTAACTGCAGTTAGTATCATTGACATGTCATTCCTACGTTATCATCATAGTTTAACTGAAATCGGAGGTTTTTAACGAAAAACAAAAGAATTTTGGCCACCATCTTGCATGATACTAACGGTAGTTTGAGTCATCCAGCTGTGGAACAGTAACTTCACCAAATTAAAAGAATTTTATCATTATATGGAATCATTTTTGTGGTGTAATTATGGAACAATATCAATCCAATTCAAACAAATAAAAAGGCATTGACATGCAAAAGGTCACCACCAACCATTTGTCACAAATGCCAGAAGCCAAACACCAACCACTGAATGCCGAACACCATCCACAAAAATGTTGAAGACTATAACAATTTGTCACCAGTTGTGGTGGTGACATAAAAATGCATAAATGAAATTTTCAGGAAAATGCAACATTTAGTCTATATAACAGGGATCATAGATACCATGTTTATGAACTAACAGAGGTCTAGGAACCAGACATAGAGATTATATTTCAAAAAAGTATGTTGGAATTATAGTGATTCTGTCAACTTTATGTCTCTGGTTCTATCTTGATCTTATTTGAAAATAAATAAGAACATTTGATTTTATTACAGACATATTTTTAATTCCACTTTGATATTATTACTAAAATAACAGATGTGACCATATCCTATATGATCTTACATGAGAAATTACCCCAAGACACCTGGTGTAGAAGTAAATATTGCCTTTGAATTTATTTTCAAAGCTCCTATACATTTACAGACTGACCCAATTTGACGCATACATTTACAGGCTGACCCAATTTGACCCATACATTTTCAGACTGACCCAATTTGACCCATACATTTACAGGCTGACCCAATTTGACCCGTACATTTAGAGGCTGAGCCAATTTGACCCGTACATTTAGAGGCTGAGCCAATTTGACCCGTACATTTAGAGGCTGAGCCAATTTGACCCATACATTTACAGGCTGGCCCAATTTGACCCGTACATTTACAGACTGACCCAATTTGACCCATACATTTACAGGCTGACCCAATTTGACCCATACATTTACAGGCTGACCCAATTTGACCCATACATTTACAGGCTGACCCAATTTGACCAATACATTTACAGGCTGACCCAATTTGACTAATACATTTACAGGCTGACCCAATTTGACCAATACATTTACAGGCTGACCCAATTTGACCCATACATTTACAGGCTGACCCAATTTGACCTGTACATTTAGAGGCTGACCCAATTTGACCCATACATATACAGGCTGACCCAATTTGACCAATACATTTACAGGCTGACCCAATTTGACCAATACATTTACAGGCTGACCCAATTTGACCAATACATTTACAGGCTGACCCAATTTGACCCATACATTTACAGGCTGACCCAATTTGACCCGTACATTTACAGGCTGACCCAATTTGAACAATATATTTACACAGTGACTATATTCAGCTAAAGTCATAAAAAGTTAAGGCCAAGTAGATACCGAAACAAATGAAGACAATACTTCCTGCACAGGACAACATTCTGTTTTACACCAGGTCCTAAGAAACCTCGTTATTTAAATGAGCTTACCTGTTGCATGTGTGGTTCATACATGCCATCATTATAGCCCCCAGTTTGGTTCACCACGTGGCGAAGTGCACTCGCCTAAAAATAATACAACTGTTGTAACTTGAGGTTACATGTTATCTTGAGTAACATGTTTATCCTGGTATTGGTGTTTCCTCAATAAATGATTTGTCCTGTTTTTTGTTCAAAATTTTCATTTTCTGAAATGTTTTCAGATCTCTGAAGTTCAAAGATGGTCAGCATATTTTGACAATCAAATTGTCTTTTGTCAAAACGCAAAACCATTTGACCTTTTTAAATTCAAAGCAAATATTACATTAACAAAATCAATGTTCATTCTTGTATTACATAATCATGCCTATACACTAAAACCTGTCTTAGCGAACACCTCTCTAAAGTGAACATCTGTCTCTAGTAGACACCCTTCCTCAGGTTTCATTTTAATCATAATTAAATAAAAAACATCTCTCTTATATGATCCCCTTCTTCAAAATATCTAAAATACAACCCTATCTTTCCCCCAGCACTGTAACATGTGACATAATACCGATCAATGCACAGAAACTTACTTGCGACTGTACATTAGCGCCGATTGACTCCGGCTGGAAATTGTCCCCATTCAAATTCATGTACATGCCTCCAGATCCCAGCCCACTCCCACTGCGCGGTACCATGTTATAGTTGGTTGCACCTGCAAGTACGAAACCATAACTTCAGGGCCAGGTAAATTAAACACAAACTAAGTGGACCATTAATTTGAATAAGGAAGTTTCTTAAGACTACAGGGCCATATAAATCAAACACAAACTAAGAGGTGGAACCATTAATTTGAATAACACGGGAGTCTCATAGACCTACAGGGCCAGGTAAATTAAACACAAACTAAGAGGTGGAACCAATAATTTGAATAACACGGGAGTCTCTTAGACTACAGGACCAGGTAAATTAAACACAAACTAAGAGGTGGAACCAATAATTTGAATAACACAGAGTCTCTTAGACTACAGGGCCAGGTAAATTAAACACAAACTAAGAGGTGGAACCAGTAATTTGAATAACAAGAGAGTCTCTTAGACTACAGGACCAGGTAAATCAAACACAAACTAAGAAGTGGAACATTAATTTGAATAAGGAAGTTTCTTAGACTACAGGGCCATATAAATCAAACACAAACTAAGAGGTGGAACCAGTTATTTGAATAACAAGAGAGTCTCTTAGACTACAGGGCCAGGTAAATTAAACACAAACTAAGAGGTGGAACCAGTAATTTGAATAACAAGAGAGTCTCTTAGACTACAGGGCCAGGTAAATTAAACACAAACTAAGAGGTGGAACCAATAATTTGAATAACACAGAGTCTCTTAGACTACAGGGCCAGGTAAATTAAACACAAACTAAGAGGTGGAACCAGTAATTTGAATAACAAGAGAGTCTCTTAGACTACAGGACCAGGTAAATCAAACACAAACTAAGAAGTGGAACATTAATTTGAATAAGGAAGTTTCTTAGACTACAGGGCCATATAAATCAAACAGAAACTAAGAGGTGGAACCATTAATTTGAATAACACGGGAGTCTCTTAGACTTACAGGGCCAGGTAAATTAAACAGAAACTAAGAGGTGGAACCAGTAATTTGAATAACAAGAGAGTCTCTTAGACTACAGGGCCAGGTAAATTAAACACAAACTAAGAGGTAGAACCAGTAATTTGAATAACATGGGAGTCTCTTAGAATACAGGGCCAGGTAAATCAAACTCAAACTAAGAGATGAGTCATGTAACCATTAATTTAAAAAACCAACTCAAACTAATAAGTGACTCATTGAACCAGTTATTTGAATAACAAGGGAGTTTTTTAGACTACAGGGCTAAATCAAACTCAATCTCATAACTGATTCATGGAAAGGTCTCTTGATTTTCAGGGCTGGGTGGATCAAACTCAGACTTCAGTAACCCAAAAATTGAAATAAATAAATAACAGGGGAGATTCCAAAACAGGGTCAGGTAAACAATGGGAACTAATAGGAACCATCAATTTGAAATAAATAGCAAGGTTAAGTCTCCCATAAGGAAACCTAACATCAGGGCTGGGCAAATCAAATATATGCAAATATGGGACTCCAGGAATCAGTAATTTAAGTTAGGTAGTTACAAAGTGAATGTTTCAAATATGATCACAGGCTGGTATCGAAATATTTGTCCGCTGTGACGGAGCATGCTTTTTTTCATAAAAACACTAAGAATACTTCACGATTTATTTTTTAACTCATATGTTTCGTTATACCATACAAAATTACTTACTCCATGCAATGGATATATCATTTGCGGGTAACTTTCACTTATGTTTGAAGTCCAATTACGCTGGGAAGAAAAGCTATTGAAAATGGCGCCGGAGTATCATACTTCAAAATGTATCATTTCTTGTTTAACTTTCTAATTGCACAATATAGTGACACGATAATATTTACACATGGTTTCAGCATAACTATGAAGGTATAAATGAGATGTTGATGTATTTGGTCTTTTTAATTCTTTTATAAAAAATAATGTTTAATTTTTTTGTCCGCTGTGACGGAGCAGTTGCAAATGTGAACTGTGAAAATGCTCCGTCACAGCGGACAAAAAATATTAATATTATTTTTTATAAAAAAAATTAAAAAGACCCAATGCATTAATATCTCATTAATACATTCAAAGTTATGCTGAAAACATATGTTAATATAATCGTGTCACTATATCATGCCATTAAAAAGTCAAAAAAGAAATGGTACATTTTAGAGTTTGATACTCTGGCGCCGTTTTCAATAGATTTTACTCCTAGCGTTATTGGACTTCAAACAGAAGTGAAGGTTACACGCAAATGATATATCCATTGCATGGAGTAAGTAATAATCTTTGATATAACCAAACATATGAGTTAAAAAATAAATCGTGAAGCATTCTTAGTGTTTTTATGAAAAATAGCATGCTCCGTCACAGCGGACAAATCTTTCGTTACCAGCCTGTGATGATGGATAATTGCTTAAAAGTTGAGGTGAAAATCGAATTTATTCAATTTGATAAAAAAAATTGTGAATCAAAATAAAATTCTTCAAGAAAACATGAAAAAATGTAATGGTATCCATCACCAGGGCCCCAATTAACTTAAGTGGCCTTCAAAAAATCAGCTAGGGAAAAAAAGTTCAAAAATCAAAAGAAACCAGATATCCATTTTAACTGACATAAAACATGAACTCAATTGAAAGTAAAAAAATCATTGAAGAAAAGCCACAAGATATCATTGATGTGAACAAACATTATATGTGTATGTAACAATATGAACCCTAATCCAAATAACAAAAAAAACGTTCCCGTACATATCGAATAATGTTAAAAATCTGCTGTTAAAATGAGCATTGTACATGTAAATTAAATGAATGAAGTCGTTTATCAAAACTATGGAATGAATATTTTTGTATCCATGGAAAAACATAAACAATACAATACCATTTACCCATGATATAACTGATGAGAAAAATCAACGAGTTTGAATGAAAAGGACACAAAACAGAATCCCAACAAGTCTATTTTACAACCGAGATGACTGATGAAGAAATGAGGTATGAGGCGCATAAATGTGGATGTACACAAATGTTCATGGATGAAGCGACAAGGACATCACAAACAGAGAATGTAGCACAAGATAATATTCCACCTTGGATTTCATAGTATTGCAGGTACATACAACATACTGGTAACCTAGGCAACCTATTTACATATAATCTGAATCCATCCATCGATAAAATTCTACAAATGATAATTTTATGCTTATGTTCATTTTCAAAATTTGGAAATAGAGGGCCTAATACAATGTCAGCCAAGCTAACTCTGAACTATAGCTCCGAAGTACTAAACTTCAAAATCTGTATGTGTCGTTTCAATTCAAAAAAGACACATTATCATAATTTCATGAAATGTAGATGAATAAATATATTGATTGATTGACACTAGATCAACCTACAAGGCCTCCACTCGTGTCCTGTTCAGTTGTATGTTTCATTAAGTGATCTATCCTACTCATTTGTATGATTCATTTTTGGGATAGATTCAGATTATATAATCCCTGTATCCCAAATAATCCCCATATAAACCATTGAACCATTGTATACCTTGACTGTTTGGGTCTCCGGGGCTCGTCTGCGGTCCAGCGTTAGTAGCTTGAGCACCTTGAGCAGCGATTTTAGCTGCATACAGATTAGCTTCCTCCTGAGCTTTGCCAATGTTCTTCTTGTAACGGATACGTTTGTTGCCAAACCAGTTAGAAACCTAGAACAGCCATAATGAACATGACTTAACCAGGTGCATTTGCACTTAACTTGACATGACCAGAGTGCATTTGCACTTAACTTGACAAAACCAGAGTGCATATGCACTTAACTTGGCATAACCAGAGTGCATATGTACTTAACAATCCAGAACACTGGGACCATGGGCTAAAGTTTGAAGAATCCTAGACTGATGAATGTAGCTAACCAAAATATTGATCATCAAACAAAAATTAATTCTAAAGACATTAATGATTTCCAAGTAGAGACTATGAAGTCAAGGATGGCCAAACTTTAACCCATGACTAATTAAAAATTGATTGATCAAAAATTCTTTGAGGATAGAGTGAATAAGAAAAAAAAATCGAAGAATTCTGATATACTGTAGAATCAAAGTGCTTAAATACATTGATATCTGCTTAAAACCTAATTTCATTTATGATCTCCTTTTGAAGTTGGCACTTATAAACAAAAGGATAAGTCAATAAGTTTTGATAACTAATTAATTTTATTAACCACTTTGAAACAAAATCCTGGAGAAATTCAGTCTATGTACTCAGTGATCATTATTTTAACATGTAAACATCTCTAATATTTCGATTAGAACATATTCCCTGAAAATATCTGAAGCAGAGTAAACAACTTTGAAAGCAAAGAAAGGAGGAAGAAATTAAAGGGTATCCTAAACATAACCCTATAAAGTCTAATTAGAAAATAAAATTGTAACTAAATAAACATACCTAAAGCAACTAACGAAAAATAGGAGGGAAGGGTTTAAGAATTTCACGAGGAATGAGATAAACAAGAGTTCGGATCTTCTACCCCCCAGTGTCCATTCTATGTGATCGACATACATGATTACATAGATACACACTAAGTAATAGTTCACCAAATAGATAATAGATGTCAGATGTGATGATCAGATACAGAAGACAGTAATTATGATTGAAACCAATTTCGATTATTGTACAGTCATTAGAGCCCATTTTAAGATATCACCAGACTGGATTTTAACGGTGTGGTGCGTAAAAGGTGATCAGATCCGATCTAAGATCAACATTGGCAAAGACACAGGTGTTAGAAACCTGTATGTTTCTAAAATCACACAAAGAAAATATAGAGAAAAGTATCGAAGATTCACTCAGTTTTTCAGAGCTGAAATATCTGGAAAGAATACAAGCATGTATAGTTAATAACAGTAGACTAATTCCATATTATACTACAGGACATGGTTCACTCTAGGCACATATATTATTTCATAAACAGAATATATTAACCTTTTTATTAAGTCAGAAATTCATGCACAATAGGGTCACACTCAAAATGGTATTAAAAATAGCACAGTACTATAAAAATTCTTGAATTAAATTCATTTTGAAATCTCTCGTTTTTTTAATCAATGTATGTTTTCTGTGTTAATTCAGCCATGACAGGTTATACTGAATGTTGAATATTGGATGAAGGTTGTAGCCGCCTTCGAAAGCGTCCAACATAAACATATTAGTTTTTTTCCATGTCAGCTCGAACTGAGGTTGTTACTATAGTAACTTAAGTTGCAATTTCACTCGGCAATATATCATGTTAGATAGCCATAAAACTGTCTTATGCGCCCATAAAAGAAGAGTTAAAATGTCAAAATTATGATTTAAGGTTTTACTAGCCCTGATAAAGTAAATCTCCTTTTAGACTGAAATAAAGAATGAAAGAAGAACTTTTCCGAAATGTTAAGAAAATGAATAAAATAACACTTTTCAAAGGTACAGTATTTATGCAGCGAAAATTGTACTATTTCATATTGATAATTGTAATTTCATTCATCGAAAGACACAACATAATATGTCGACATATTTACCTCAATGAAAATAATATCGCCAATGACATCAATTATATAAATCATTAAAAAGATGATGAATTGATACGGAAATTTCAATAAAAATTCTCATACAGAATATGAGAATTGGGTATTTTTCATTTCGAATGACAGAAAAAATATTACGAGCCTGTATGAATATTGACACAAATGATTTACCTTCGTTATAACAATGAATCTTTCCTTCTATGTATTTACATCAGCTAATATATAAACATCATAACATACAAGGTCAACATCCAGTTTTAAATATATCAATCAAATTGTCCCTACTTAGGTCAGGACGACATTATAACAGTAATGATAATATTAATGAAATCCGACTGACAATGAAAAATCGAAAAATATTAATATCTTCATACTCATAATATCATTAATTTTTTCTGCATTGAATTTCTGCATGAATTCAAATTGTTATGATACGGGCATATATCGCCTGATCAAAGAGATGTTAATTTAAAGTATAAGCCACATTAATGTTAGAACAATTGGCAGCCATATATAACAAGCAAAAAGAGGAAAATTATATGAAAATACAGCACATTTATCGTTAATCCATCAAATGAGACATCGCCATATCAAGCTGTTACACGAGATGTTTAAAAACTTCCAGAAATAAATGTGCGAAGTTCTGTTGAAATAGAGCTGTTGTGTTACAATAGAAATTAAAATGTTTATTAATCCACAATTTCTTGTTTGTTTAGTTGTTTGTGGTTGTGAGGCCAATACAATGAAGCAGCCCTCTCAACAAGATACATCCCATTGTCTCCCACAGGAGTGCAATTGTATCCTGAGGGAGATGCTCTGGCTGGGAATCCTCTGAGGGTTGAATTCATGCACTCCTGACTAAGTGCCATCTATAGGTGAGATTAGCACTTCAATAGAATTGACCAACAAGGTTATCAAATCAGAAAGACATCAAGTTTATTTGAAACGTGATTGAAAATGATAGAAAGAAAGTAAATATCAATGCTAAAAATACCAGTGTTTAAAATACTAATGTTAAAGATACCACTTTTCTTTGTACACCAGAGAAGATTCACCTAAAGCTTGGTAAAAATGCTTTTTTTCAAGTACATTGTTGAATAACCATGACCAGAACTGATATTTCACACATTGATATATAGCGTAACATAAAGGATGCAAAAATGTATAAGCCACAACCAGTAAGTTTGAAAACAACACAAAACATATATATTTTCTAGATATGTATCGCAACGTTAGGAAAAACATGCTTTTAAAGGTTCTACGGCTGTAGCTGAAAACAAGGAAACAATCACTATTGTTCTGCACACTTATGACATCATCAAAGCAGCTGTAAATTTTTACCCTCGGGTAAAATATCAAAGTGATCATGTGTACTCGTTAAAAAAACAGAAATAGAGAGGAAATCGCAAGAAATAGAATAGGATGCAGACTAGTGCACAGTCACAGAAAATAACATGCTCAATACAGCAAAGGGTTGGGTTATTTTCTGGGTCTGTGCGTGGGCCTGAAATATGCAGTCTATTATAGAGCCCCAAAATATGCCCCAATTTATATCTGGCTTATGTGATTGAATGATGGCTAATTGGCACTTTTTGGAGCTGTATATTAAGCTGCATAAAGGAAAATACTCAAACTGGCATATAAATCGAAAACATTCAAGCATCTTATATGAAAATAAGGGAGCTTTAAATGTCAACAAAGTCATTAAAATTTTGTATTCTAATTTAAATAGAATAAAAGAGAAAGGGGAAAAATTTGTGAAATCATAATAAAAAAAACCCATACCTTTTAATTGAGATGAGAGAAAAAAGGGGAATACACATGATCACGATGAGATTGTTTGTAGGCATTTATTACCTGGGACACGGAGATTCCACATTTTCGGGCCAATTCTTCCTTAGCCTCTTCACTTGGATAAGGGTTCGACAGATGTGAGTAGAAATATTCGTTCAGGATTTCAGACGCAGTTTTACTGAAGTTCCGTCTTTTTCGCCTGAAAGTACAATGATGTCATCATTTTAAGCATGCTCCATTTTTGACGATATCATCACATGGTGGCGTGATGTCATTGCATCATTTTGGAGAGACCAAATGATGACATCATTTAGGCTAGCGGAGGCTGGTTTGATGATGTCATCCCTGCAGAGTTTGATGTCACATGACGCATTGCATGATGTCATGTGACACATTTGATGTCATGTGACCTACCTGGCCAACTGATATACCACATTGCTTGGCAAGCTGTTCTTTGGTTTCTTCACTTGGATATGGGTTCGCCAGATGGGAGTAAAAGTATTCATTTAATACAACCGTGGAATTTTTGGTAAAATTGCGTCGTTTTCGTCTGAAATAATGTCAAAACAGGGCATGCAAGATTATGAAGAAAACTACAGTATTCTTATTCTGAAGATTAATTAGTTTAAACAAACGACATTAAACATTTTGTTCATAAACATTTGTATCCAAGAATAGACGGAGCTTCCTAGCAATTGAAAGATATAAATATTTAATGTCTACAGAACAGCAATGAATTATTTCAAGTTTAATATGTAATTGATGTTCTCCAATATCAATTTCTCTCTTTTTCCATCCATTCATAGCAGTGGGTGTACATCAAATTGCACTTTTTTCAATATGATGATTTAAGGCCAAAAGAATTCTTGTTTTATCAGACTAAAATTTTAGACTTGTACATTATCTTTTTTCTTTTTTCTTGAAGATTTAGTCTCTCTTTTATGTATTATATTTTTAAAAATTTGTGCAATAATTAAAGGCAGAATCAGATCTATAGGGGTGATAAAGTTACAAGAAACATGTACAATTGACCTAACAATCTATTCCATACAACCTCAAATACAATATCTCCCAAAAATTCTCGATATGTTATAAATTGGTGAAGTTATTATGGATTCAAAGTGCAAAAATGAGTGAAAAATGTTTAAATCCTCCCATATAATAAAAATGGTAACCATTCTTATAGAAAAATAATACATTATTGTGAAAATCTTTAGTTTTCCTGAAATAAAGTGTGTACTTTGGGAATATTTAGAAAATAGACATGACAAGGAATGATATGAGCTAGAAATATTCTAAAATTCAAACAATTTTTTGTTGGCCTTTTCGCTAGATCTGATTCTCTCTTTGATCAAGATTTTTTCTAATTTCTCATTACATTAAATGTTTTTCAGTGATATTATTGAATACTGAATACTACAAGGGACACAAAAGTTTAGGACACAATGTCCAAGTTTTGCCATATTTGATTAAAAAAATAATTCTTGGAATCTAACAAATTTAATTTTTGTTACTTCTACAATTTTCCCCGCTATTTTGCATTTCAAAACATGACCATATAAACATTTTGTACACCAAACGTCACTGGGAATCATACGAACCTGGCATCTAAAAATCGTGAGCGTAGAATCATTACAGCTTCACAAGTGCTCTGTTTTAGTTGCATTTCAATGGCGGAGAACTTTCGTCGTATTATGCTGACCATGCGCTCTATTTCTTTTGGCGCGATAGGACGGGTGCGGGACTGTTCACGCAGTAAGTTGACCACATGAGTCGTGAACTCATTACAGGCCTAAAAGTATACAAAGAAATTTATTTAAAAAAAGTAATGAGACAGTAGTAAGACTGGAATCTAGGTCAATGAGTTATAGCCTGCCATCTATACTAAGTACTGAGTCACTAAGTGTAATTATGACGTTACATGCATAAATGTGAAATATATACATATACATACATACATCTGAATAAAGTATAAAGCAAGACAAAAGAACAACTTGATGTCATTTAACTCTGCCACAGTCTGCCATATTGTCTGTAGTATTTGCCTACCTGCGGGACAAATAAACTGATGAGTTGACTTATACTGATGGGGACATGTTAATAGATCATTATATCAATGCCTAATGTTTTCACTTTTGTGATTTGAAATTGCAATTGATGACTGTTTTGAAATTTGAAGGCTAATTAACACAATTAATACAATCCAGTTATATTAATCAGTCATGGCACTGAAATCTGAATAAAATGAACACTACTTTGACTAGCAATATGACATTTTGAGAGGTTAACATGTCACTCTATGGAATGAGTATGACGGTGTTCTTATTTTGTACTCTTAGGATTCGAAAAGATTTCGCTTAATACATACACTACCAATCTTCAACAGTACCGTACAATACCGTTTTGGCTACAGTACTGTAAAATATGGTACCATACAGTATGGTACTATGAACACTTGAATGCTACCATGAGGTACCATTCTCTTCATATACCGTAAGGTGCTATGATTTCAGAGTTCGGATTGGGGCTGTATACACAGAATAACTTCAATATCCTATCTAACCTTCTCTGAAATTCATCTGGACATTTATGTATGTTAAACCTGCCCACTGGGAAAGTTGAACAAATAACTTGCTAACTACCAACGACAGTACACAATTTACGATTCAACAAGTGTATCTTTCTGTAGCACATCTCCACTAGAACGAGCCAATCATCAAATATTTTTTTTCCTTGACGTCCACTCTAAACAACGAATCAGTAGGCCAATTAGTCGACAGAATATTAAGGCAGGCTAACGCACATTTGAACCATTTTAATAAAATTAATACCCGTGCTATCTTGCCCTAACATTCGCATAGACAATCTCCGAATTGGATAGAATGAGCAATAAAACACGATCAGCTACAAATTAGGAAGTATGATATGCGATAATGATGGCCGCTGCATTAAAAGGCTAGCCCATAATTCCTTGCTTTAGTAAGAATTACGAGATAAATTCTGATTAGCTTTTGATGGTAGTTAGAGATTCTGTTGAACATATAATCAGTGAATGAGGGATTAAATCTACAGACAATCGGATCAAGTAGCCTCTGCGAACAGAATATTGATCATAAATATATGAGCACTGACATCAGTTTCTCTCATGACATCAAAACGACAACAGAGATACTGGCAAGAAATGACGTGAATAAGCTTGAAGTTAAATTTAATTTGTTCAGAAATAAAAAAGTAACTTGAGTCACCGTAAGCAAAACAGATTGCCAGAGAATAATAAAGGATGCAATGCTGCTGTTCCTATTTATATCAATGTTAATGACCATTATGGTGTAATTAATGATGATTCTTTGGGTTTACTGAAGCATGTAAATCAAGTGGTGAAACAAGTATAAAGCGAACAAGTTATGGAAGGTTTGGGTGTTAACTAAAGTGCCTTTCCTTATTGAGAATCAATGAAGAATATAGTTTGGGTCCCAGAAAATTATAAGAGAGCCTCAAAATGACAAATTAACAAAAAGATTCCTATGTTTGTTTTAATGATATTTCAATATCAAAACCATAACCAAAATTGAAGTAACAAAGTCAAAAACAAGATTCAATTTGAGACAAATTCCCCCGACTTTTCCACAGAGAAAATCAATGGAAATAGTCATTAGCCAATGACCTCTGGATATCACTTTGGATGGGTTAGATTGAGAAACCAAAAGAGTAAACTCGCTATCTCATAAATATAATGCCAATTTAACGGTCCTACAAAATATACAGATTCTCTCTGATAAAGGAATATCTTTCCACTTGCATATATTTTCATAAAATTTCAAATATGGATTTTAATTTTAATTATTCTATTTTTTGTTATTTTCTTTCTTGTCACTGCTTTTTAATCAAACGCAAAGACCACTCGGATAATATAAACGTAGGATTGAAGCTGGTCGAACGATTGAGTAAATCAACTCTGTCTGTCTTGCCGACATTTATTAGGTTTCTCTTTTATCGATTTTCAGTTTTTTAATCAATGAGCTCGTATGAAAACCCTTAAAAACACAGAATGTCTGTGGGGAATATGTCCAAGTAAAAGTATAACCGAAGGACAATGAACTTAAATGATGAAAATCAAACATTGTTCATTTGAAAATAACAGTGTCAGTCATTTTGAAACGATGGTGACTACCCAATCAAATTTTAGAGATCTTGAAAGCCAAATCTGCAGTGGGGTTCCAACAGACTGGGAGTGATGTCCTCAAATGTCAATTTTCTCGAACATATAAATTATTTTATGCTTTATTGTTCACTTGTTTACATATATATTGTTAACAGCAGTTCGCTAATTAATTTTATTTAATTGTAACTTTACATCCCTTTGTGATAAACAAATCAGAAAATATGTTGATAATTTATGACAAAAGGTTTCAAGTTCGACCTCAGATACATTTTAGCCGCTTGGAGCTGACAAAAAGTCCATTTTACTAGAACTGTATGAACAGTTGGATATTCACAACGAACAAAAGACAATCGTAAAATTCATTGCATCGACAAAAACTCTTAATACACAGTGATCCACAGTGACCATTATTCTCAACCTACCAATGATAGAAGTCCATTAAAACAATAATAAAAGCAAATAGAAGTGATATATTTACGACAAAGAACAATCGCCACTGTTAATTTCAATTCATCAAGGCAGGGTCTCTATCGCTATACTATAGAGCCTGAACAGCACACTTCACAAATTGCGAGATTTCAACTGGCTGTAATGATCGTGCTATTCTAAACACATTGTCATGATCCCAATGGCAATTTCATTAGCAATATCAGTCTTTATTAGATGTCCAGGCCATTTACTGCGTGAGTAATATGACCTAGGACTCCTCTATATCTTCAACAACTCAAAACATCACAGGTTAAATGAAGGAAGTGTTCACCATTTTCACAACATTTTACAAGGAATGTAACATTTTTTTTAGTTTTCAGCGCAATGTTCCTCACTGTTTCCTCTTTATTTTTCATTTTCATTTGTTTATTTTTTGTATCCTCTTTATGCTGGATGACAATGGTTTTTGTGACACTCTTTATGATATAATTTATATTTTTTGATATCATAATGTACTTTACATTCAAGATTTTCATACCTTATTAGGATTAGATACATGGAATGGAGATCGATTAAACAAGATGCTGTAAAGCGGAAAAAATAAATCCAGAAGATAAATGTCATAGGTGCCATTGTTTGAATTCACCAAATAAATATGAGATTGGCAAGGAGTACAGTGACCATGAATGTGATTCACAGTGACCATAATATGTATTTCATAGTGACCAAAATGTGTATTTCACAATGGGCGTAGCGCCTGGTACGCACAGGCGTACCAGATGGTTGCAAATTCGCTCCAAATACAACAAAATTTTCCTGGGGGAGAACCCCAAGACCCCCCTGAATGCTTGATTTTTGATTCACTCAACTCTTGTTCCCGTGGTGGTGGCGTACTTCTTAGAAAAATAGCGCTACGCCCATGGTGACCATAATATGTAATTCACAATGACCATAATGTGTATTTCACAGTGACCATAATATGTAATTCACAGTGACCATAATATGTAATTCACAGTGACCATAATATGTAAAACACAGTGAGCGTGTATGTAATTCACATTAATCATAAATATATGTGATTCATTCCACACATTGTGTGGAAATGCATTTAATCCAAACTTAATAACGATCATAGGGAGAAACAAGATATAAGGATGAAAAGAGGTTTATAGCATTAAATACAACAGAACAATCCAGGAATAGATTCAACATTAAATTGCGAGAAAATTGAATAAAACTAAATCCCTTGATTAACAAGCATCTTTCACCAACACAATGGACCTGACCTAAAAGACAGGCGAGCAAGATTCTGAGGATAAACAATATTGATTTGCGACAAACAGAGCTTTAATTTATTCATTGTATTCTATTCAGATTCACGTTGTGAAAAGATTTGCAGCGCATCACTTCTACCTTTGCAAAATCTCATAACTGTCAATATTTTTCCTTGATAAAATACTCCTAAACAGGGAAAAACACGGAGGGAACTTCAATATCCATAGTGACAACTCAAAGTGGTACCAAAATGAAAGGAATTCTAACACTGTGTGAAGGTTGAGACACCAATCGAGAAAAATATGGAAGACTTTGATGGACAAAAATATTTGAATGGGTAGATTGTTGTTAGACAAATGCGGGTCTCAACTCAGATTAGCGGAGGTTCTACCCCTAATACATTCATTCTCAGTTTAAATAGCTTACGGAGGATGAAGTCTGTGATTTCCATGAAGATATATTATACCGTCCGGGTGAATATCATCCTTTGTCGCATTAGCTATCGTTGTTTTATAGCTCCGTCTCATCGGTGTGATAAAACACTCGCTAGTAAGACAATAATACGAATGTACATGTCACTTTAGATAATTGCAATGTCAGTTAAGGTTAGAACTTCACGTTTAATATGAAAAAATACCTTTTCTTTTTGTTCTACTGAAATCATTGAATTTCCCAATAATATGCAATGGTGAAGTGCAACTCAATAACTCATAAAAAATATAAAAATTCTGACAGATTATTGATATGATTAAGAATAAACTGTTCCTAGAAATGAAAATTATATTTTCACGCTTTATGGAAATATAATATTCGAGACACTGATTCCAACTTCGCCTAATTAGCAAATGATGTCGAATGCAATTATGGCCTAATAAATCAATGGCCGCAGTCCTACCACATTGAAAGTTTCATGCACTTTTTAAAGCCGTTTAACAGAGTGATCACCATAATGTGGACATTAATATGACAAATAACTCTACGGATGTTATTCTATATACTGCACAATAAACAACCGAGTGAGTTAAATACAATAAAATAAATATTTTAAGGTCAACCTTGTATCATATTCATGCGGCATCATAAATCACACGACCCCAATATATCAGAATATTATACTAGTACAATGCAACTATTCAGCGACAAGTCTGTTTCCTTGGTGATGGAAATAGTGAATTAGTCAACAGATTTGGGAATGTTTTCGAGGAATTTTTTTTAAGTCTACGTAATACGTTCCTCTGTAGGAAGTGAAATGCAGGCTGGGATATCTTTCACAACTTCATAATACTTCAACATAGGTTAATTTCTCATTCAATTTCATAACTCAAATTTTAAATGTACATGTACCGTAAAGTGACCAAATTCTTTGTTGTTCTGTACATTCAACAAGACCTCAGTAAAGCATAAACTCAAATATTTATAGAAGACCGCAAAAACCTAAACAAACAATTTATGACAATTAAGTAAAACTATTGTTTCTTTATTTCCCATTAAACCCTCAGTTTATGTGAACAAGCATCTTGAAAAAGCATCTCGACATTAATGAACTACACAGTTTCAGTTAACTCAACCTTTCGAGAAAATGTCACTGTAATTGATAGCTGTAGATATTGAAAAGAAAACATAATTATTAACAGTTGCTAGCTTTGTTGGTTTAATTATGATGCAATGTATGCTATTGGATTAACACAATAAAAAACTCATCTTACATTACATGATATTATATCAGCTTTAATATTCAATTAATTTCTTAAGCTTTATATGTGAAATGAAACTATTTAAGGGGTTAATGAAAAAATGGATGTACGAACAGGAATTGTAAGAGAAGAGAAGTACAAATGTACTATAAACCCCTATACATCATATCTTGTATTAATGAATAAAGAAATGAACAAACAATCTGAATAAGAGGAGGGAAAACCCCATGATTCAATTGATGACATACGATTTCCTCCTTCGCGCACCTCCTTTCCCGGAAGTACTTACCCTCCATCTTGGTTTTCAAAGTTTTCAAATTGACCTAGTTTTAAACCAATCAACGATCAACTCGCTACACCAATCTGCGACGAAGTCATCTCAATACAGATTTACATTATAAACGTATGTCATCTTTGAACCCTGGGGTTTCTCCCCCTCTTAATCTGAATGGTGATTGGCCAAATGAACAGACTAATGAATCAGATCCATGATAGCCTGGACAACAAACCGATTAGTCGTATATGACACGAATTTCACTTTCATTCAGGCTCTTTAGTACGGTAAAACCTGTTTATGTGGAACATCTGTGGTACCTCTAAAAAGTGTTCGACTAGGGAGGTGTTTAACTTGAGGTTTACTGAACATTAAGTCAATCACTCATAGGACTCTGAAAGCGTTTCCTTTCCAGAAGTGTTCAACTTACAGATATGTTCCACTTAACAGGTTTTACTGTAGTCAAAATGTTTGTAACTACATAAAATAACATGGTGGTGTTAATCAATCAGAAATTTTCAAATCCTGAAATTGTAGTAGAAAGTAATAGTTATTGGTCATTGAAAAACATGTTCCTGTTTCAGTAGTTGATGTTCTGAACAGTCCATTTACATCCAGATGTATCATACATTTATTTCATAAAACTTGACAAGGATTTTTTATTGAGTAGGTTGAAAAATGTTCAAGAAAAATAAAGAAAATATGCCAATTTTTCATGACTTTTCAATATGGTGAAGTTGGTTCTTAAGTGGGTGGAGGGTATATTTTAAGATCTCAAATGGATGATGCAACTTCTTGCCTCAATGCAAGGAAGATCCCGGCAATATGTAATTTCTAAAATTCTAGAGTATTTTAGTAATTAGTACATTCCCATTATGGCCTTAAGGTAGGCAGAACAGAACATGTAACCAAGACCTTTTATATAAAGGTTCGTATACAAATCTATCTTACACTGCTCACCTTAACCATAAACATGCAGAAATACACAAACATGCAAATATACACTGAAGTTCAAGCGAAATACTGGTTCATGCATCATCAAGTCTTTGGGATTTGTTCAATTATCCCAATATATACATTTTATTAGGTATTTATTTGATACCATAGTAACAACCAGTTGCTATAGTAACATTGAACAAGAACACAAATGTGTACAAAATGTCCCCACCAAGTGGTGATCCCGTGAAATGGTTATCCTGAAAATGAGTAGACAAGACTTTACCAATCCAAAGTGGCCACCTTAAAATTTACCCAGAATGCCAAAAATTTAGTCAGTTCTAGATTTTCATACTAAGAAACACCCCTGAAAATTTGAAATTGATCCGTCACACAGTTAACCAGAAAACATGTAAACAAGACTTTACAGACAAGATTTCAGGATGGAAAATCCAAAATGGCTGCCTTGACATTTACCCAGAATGTCAAAAAACTAATCTGTTTGTAGATTTTCATACTAAGAATCATCCCTGAAAATATGAAATTGATCTACCAAACGGTTCACCTGAAAACGGGTAGACAAGACTTTACAGACAAGATTTTAGGACAGAAAATCCAAAATGGCTGCCTTAACATTTACGCAGAATGCAAAAAAAGTAATCAGATGTAGATTTTCATACAAAGAATCATCCCTGAAAATTTGAAATTGATCTATCAAACCGTTCTCCTAAAAACGCGTAGACAAGACTTTACAGGCAAGATTTTAAGACGGAAAATCCAAAATGGCTGCCTTGACATTTACCCAGAATGCAAAAAAACTAATCAGTTCTAGATGTTCATACTAAGAATCATTCCTGAAAATTTGAAATTGATCTACGAAACGGTTCACCTGAAAACGAGTAGACAAGACTTTACAGACAAGATTTTAGGACGGAAAATCCAAAATGGCTGCCTTGACATTTACCCAGAATGCCAAAAAACTAATGAGATCTAGATTTTTATACTAAGAATCATCCCTGAAAATTTGAAATTGATCCACCAAACGGTTCACCTGAAAACGCGCAGACAAGACTTCACAGACAAGATTTTAGGACCGAAAAATCCAAAATGGCCGACAATAAAAAAGTCCTTATGAGTTTTTGCTGATTTCTTCTTACAAAATTATCACATATAACTACTGTTAACAATAAAGTAGGCTTTTACAGCAAAGTACATCTGAAATTATTTATAAAGCTACTAAATAGTTAAAGTATGAAAACTCAAAAACACCATTCAATATGATACAAAGTATTATCGCGCGCTAACTTTTCTTAAGACATTCAAAATGGCTGACATGACTGAGCTAGCAGGTCCAAAACCTAATCAGATCTAGAATGAAGTGAGTTGAACAAGATGTTAAAGTTTTAAAAGCAACTGTGAAGCAGTTTTTCTTAAAGTTTGCAGACAAGGATTTTAGCATTTGACTTCAAAATGGCCGACAGGAAGTAGGTATCGAGTTAATTTTTTTTCATCCACATCTGTATGCACTCATAAGTTATCCCTGAAAATTTGAAGGTGATATCTGTAGCGGTTTTGGAGAAAACTGCCGGACGTACGGACAGACAGACGGACAGACGGACAGACGGACAGACAGACGGACGCGCCTAGGCCGACAATATGGCCCCACACTATGTGGTGGGGACATAAAAACTCAGTTACTATAGTAACTTAATGAAACTCATTCCAGGACAGGATTTTTTCTCAAGTAGGTGCAGATTTCTTGTCCAAAATTGGTCAAAACATGCTCATTTACATGCTTTTTTTCATTTTCAAGTGGTTGCAAATGGGATCTCAGGTACATACACCCACTTGCTTTAATGCTGGGGAGATCACTGGAATTACTCCTGGTCTCCATTAAAGAAAAGGACTAACCTATAACAGCTATAAAAGTCAATTAGTTACATCAGTTTCTTTGCAAACAAACCACAAATGGCTTACCAAAGTTAGTTTTCTAAGACATGCAAAATCTAGTCTTGTGTCAAGCTTACATCTTACATACACATACTGGAGGTGAGGTAAATAGGAATGAGACAGGCTATATAGGGTGGGAGGGGGGGGGGGGGGCTTGCAATCAATCACAGGTCTTTTTTCCTACAATTGAAAGTATTAGTACTAGGCATTATAACTATATGGTCAGTAGTAGTAGCAGCAACGTCCCATGCTCTGTCAATCCACTCCATGCACAGACCATCTGACCTGTTCATATTTTTCCAGCTCTGTATGGTAGATTTGCCTAATTTGGGCCAGTTTGGCTCTGTAATCTGAATGCTCAATGGCATTATCGGGTTGCCCAGGTCCCCCTGAAGCAGCTGCCGTCGCAGCAGTGGCTGCCGATGATCCTCCACCCTTCTCTGGGCCAGCCACACCCTCAGCGATCAACATATTATCCAATCGCATTAACTGAGGATCTGGAGGTTCCTCATCTTGTGCTCCACGTATACTCAACACTGAAATGACAACAAATGTGACAACATTAAATCACCATGGTAACAACATCCTACTTGCCTGTTCATATTTCTCCAACTCAGTGTGATATATTTGTCTAATCTGTGCAAGTTTTGATCTGTAGTCTGAGTGTTCTATGGCATTTTCTGGCTGGCCTGGTCCCGATCCGACGCCATCTTTCTCTGGCCCGGCTACCCCCTCTGCTATTAACATGTTATCTAAGCGCATAAGTTGCGGGTCGGGGGGCTCGTCATCTTGTGAACCCCGGATACTTAGAACTGAAACACAAGAACAGTTAGGTATAAACATCTGAAGCATGCAAAACCAATGACCAACACTTATTAAGGACTTCTGTCAATATTGGGAATATATATTTTTAAAATCAACACTTATCCTTATCTTTCTAATTTGATAAGCTTCACATAAAAGTCAAAGTTATTCCATGGGTTTCATATCATTGACTAACAGGTATGTGTGTTATGCGAAAAGTGTAAAAAAAAAACATTTCACATTCCTCCCTTTGATCTCTTATGACCCTCTACAGTATAACTCGACCATCTAAGGGGAAGTAGACAGCCAAGCCGGGTTGAGAGGAGGGTGACCAGAACTTTTTGCAAGACTGAAAATATTAATTGAAGGGAACATGGATACATTTGCTTTCTTGAGAAAGCACTTGTACTTTTAAGGAATTCAATCCTGGATCTTGTATAATATTAATAGATGCACTTTTCAATCACAAGAACCTGGATTTCTGATAATGTGCGTTTTGAACTTGAAGATGTAATAACCCTAGATACAGATGCAAGGAGATTGTAAATGATAGAAACGAGGCATATTAATATGTCTAGAAAAAATATACAAGACATCAAATTAAACAGGCTTCAACTTCAGCCATGATATTGATACCACATCTACTTTCACACAAATTAAAATACACCATTTAGAAAGCTGTTTTATAGAACCTTCCTAGAGAGTCCCAGAGATGTCATCTTTGACATTCATCATGCATTATTTACTTCAATGAAAAATTCACAATCACATATTTCAATTATTTCTGAAATTGAAGCCAAATCCAGATATTGTACAATATTACTTTAATGTGTTTTATGTCATACTAACGTGGAAACCAATAGGATTTTTTCAGATTTTCTTGAAGGGAACAAGCACATGAGGTCATGTCTGTTTCGCTACAGTGCCCTCCTATTGCTAGTAATTACTGACACTTTGTTCACTTAATGACTTTGAGTCACGCACTCTAAGCACAACCCATCTCAGGAATAACATAGAAAATGGAGGTTTTACAAGAAATTCTTTGATGATAATTAACTTGCTGAGGAATTAGGTCAACTGGTTGTTGTTCATACTCACGTTAATACAGAAATGAGAGAAAACCAGGGATGTCGTATGTTTGCAAAAAGAGGGGTGAATGTGTGTAAATCATGGCTGAGGGGGTTTTCAATGGGAATACCTGGGGACAATTTCAATTTAAGAAACCTTTATTTAGTGAATATTATTCTTAAGCTGTGCTTGTGTGAAGTCTTTCAGTATGAATAATCGGAACCCAATTGATAGGACGTAAGATATAAATAAATATTGTTAGATATAAATATACTTGTTGCAGATATCTATGTTAACAGAATCATAAATGCAGAATTTTCTTATATGTGATATATATTCATAGAAACCCACATTATATAAATGTTTTTTTTTTATTCATGTATTGTTAATCATAGTAGTATTGTTCACATCATGAGAAACCATGGCGATTCAATTTTCTCAAAAAGTGCCAAAGTATGTTTCTAGTGAAATAAAAAGTTGGATATGTATCAAAATGGATTATTGAAATGTTCATGGATATATTCACAAATATCTCGATAAGGTCTCTAATTGACTCTTTACGACATTTATTGACTCTCTTTGACTCTTATCAACTCTTTATGACATTATAGCCACATGTAAAGAGTGACAACATATATACATAAATAAATATATGTGATAACAATATATAAAAAAAATGATTTTTCTACTTTATCGTTATTCAAAGAATTGAATATAAATTGTTAATTTAATTTAAATGCGAATCAATCACTTAGGAAGTTGACTTAATAGAAATAGCCTAACGACCACCATTATGGTTTAACGTTATGTCCGTTAAGATAATTTAAAACCACTTTCCATGATTTAATACACATAACTGTTTTCATGCAACACTTAATCTATTATCTCTTACTGGTGTTTGCTATCTTATTTCCATATATATGACACAATAACAAATGCCATTTCTTTCTAAAAATAAACAACTGATTGTTTATTCATGTACGACAACCCATGTCATAATTAAAAAATCATGCTCTGTTTATGATACAAATGTACGAATTAATGAGTCTGTCATCTGTTTTTAATTATTGAAATATAGTGTAGATTATACAATACTCTAAATGTGTAGCTTATACAATACTCTAAATATGTAGCTCATACAATACTCTAAATGTGTAGCTTTAATACTCTAAATATGTGGCTTATACAATACTCTAAATGTGTAGCTTATACAATACTCTAAATATGTAGCTTATATAATACTCTAAATGTGTAGCTTATATAATACTCTAAATATGTAGCTTATACAATACTCCAAATGTGTAGCAAATACAATACTCTAAATGTGTAGCTAATACAATACTCTAAATATGTAGCTTATACAATACTCTAAATATGTAGCTTATATAATACTCTAAATGTGTACCTTATACAGTACTCTAAATGTGTAGCTAATACAATACTCTAAATGTGTAGCTTATATAATACTCTAAATATGTAGCTTATACAATACTCTAAATATATAGCTTATATAATACTCCAAATATGTAGCTTATACATACTCTAAATGTGTAGATTATACAATACTCTAAATATATAGCTTATACAATTCTCTAAATGTGTAACTTATACAATACTCTACATATATGTAGCTTATACAGTACTCTAAATGTGTAGCTTATACAATACTCTAAATATGTAGCTTATATAATACTCTACATATGTAGCTTATACAATACTCTAAATGTGTAGCTTATATAATACTCTAAATGTGTAGCTTTAATACTCTAAATATGTGGCTTATACAATACTCTAAATATGTAGCTTATACAATACTCTAAATGTGTAGCTTATACAATACTCTAAATGTGTAGCTTATACAATACTCTAAACAACAGTCAAAATTAATGGAAATCATTAATTATTAAAATGGAAAAGTTTAAAAGTCCCTAAAAACAACAGGCGATTTTGTGAAAACAATTGGTGGAAATCGCCTGTTGCCTGCTGCTACTAATGAAACCCCTGATACAAGTCAAAAATACATCTCCTGAAACTCCTACATGAGATCCACTTTTGTGATGGTTTATGAATTTATGTTTCTTAGCAAATAATACTAAATAGCACTAAGTTGATTTGGTAATTTAATATAATATAAACAAATCACTCTGGGGGAATGGGTGAATAATGTCCAAGGAAATAAATGGACACCTAATGCAGAATACATGATATACAACCATCACATACATCACAATATGCTATTGATATAATGGACATTTAGGGACAATTGTCATTTATTACTAGAACTAATTTCATTACCAATGTCAGTAATTTATAGAGGTACCAAGTCTTAGCAGTCTATATATCACAGAAGTGAAGCAAGTGACCAATACCTATCTATATTTCATAAACAATTGCTAAATGGACATGATTGAGGGTCCATACATCAAATCAACCATGATGATAGTGAGACATACCCATATACTATAAATCATATCAAAGCATTAACATGCAAAATGTCACCACCTGCCATTTGTAACAGATAGTGACCACTGAATGCTGTTACAGATGCCAAACACAAACCGCTGAAAACAGGCCAAAAAAGTTGGTGACATAAAAACTGCTGAAGTTGAATTTTTTTTTTCTATTATTATTTATTTATATATCTATTTGTTATTCATTCATTTTATTAACTTATGACTATAATAAGTCATATATTCTGGGACGGCACCTGACTTAAACCTGGAAATCCAAGATGCTAAGACAAGAGAATTTGATAAATCAGTGTTCTCATCTATCCAGAGATATTTTAGCTAATTGTAACTGTAATTACGGGATAAGCATGAGTCTATATACAGTGACAGTAATGCAGTATAAAGTGACAGGTCATGTACTATGCATTGCTGACTGGTAGCAATTATAAATAGGGAGGCAATCTCGGAGAGTAACCCACGCAAAAAATGTAACAATGGATATATGGGATTCATAGACTTGAAGATTAACTAATAGCAGAATTTGTCAGATTTTTGAATAATATTGAGTGTGAGGTTTACAGCTTTATATTCCCATAATTCATAACTTTTCACATTGTTTTAAATTGAAATTAGAGGTTTAAAATTTAACTACAGGGGTATTGATTTCTACTGGTCCCTGATACCCTCCTTTGATTGACAGCCCAATCAAGTAAATTCCCAAAGACAGCAAAAAGGTGGAATATATGAATAAACTATATCACCAAAGGACAGAATTCCATTTAACTGATTAGAATTTTAACCGCTAAATCACATAGAAAAGAAATGTGTAGGATAACTTGACATCTAGAATATCTCACATTATACCCATCCTCCACATATCTAAGGTACTAGATTATAGGAAATTGAAAAGTTGAAAATTGAGATTCATTATGTTCAAAATTCATTGTGTGCCCCATTGAAACAGGTTTTTATCGTCTCCTTAGATCATATTTTTTGACAATGCAGAGATGGCCTTAGTAAAAGAATAGGGGAGAATACTGAATAAGGTACCTGTGACACCCTACCCCACACTAAGACATACATACTAACACTGGCTGTGGAAATAACAAGACACTAACATGCAAACCAAACCAAACCAAACCAAACACCGACCACTGAACACCAACCACCAAAAACTGAGCACCATCCACAACAAAAAAAATGGGAGATTATAACAATATGTGGTGACATAACAATGCTGAAGAGAATACAGAATCCGTAAGTCTCACACATAAGAATCTATTTTTGTTTTGTTCAAAATATGAAATGGAGAAAATCAGATTCGATGTCCAGGGGCTGATTCATAGACCAGCTGAAGACATAAAAATCAAGAACAAAGCTCCAAATCTAAAGATTATACAACATGCAACTTCCACATGAATGATACAATATATTGATTCATTTAAAATCTCTAAAACAGTTTTTAACTTTATCCATTAGATTAAACCTAA